GTGCAGGAGGACGCCTCGCTCAGCAAGGTGCGCGTGCTGCCGTGAATATGCTTGCGTGTCCGTCCCGAGCATTCATCCGCAGGTATGTGCGCCTGTAGACTGGGTCGGCAGAGCTGGTCGCCCTCCAGCAAAGCCAGCGGCGGCCTGGCCTGCGTCCACAGCTTTATGCCGACAGATCGCGCTGCCTGTCCCCTGTCTCCCCGGCCCTGCCCCCGCTCTCACCAGGTGTACACGCTGTTCCGCACCCTGGGGCTGCGCCACCTGGCGGTCATACCCAGGTGAGGCCGCCTCATCACGCGGCATCAGCGGGAGCGGGGGCGCCCACGGGCCGCCAGCGCCGCGGGCGGCTGCCTGAGGACGGCGGCGAGCGCCAAAGCTCGATATGCGCCTGCCTGTGCGTGCTGTTTGAAAGCGCCTGCTTGAGGCTGGTTCGCAAGCGACGCCCCCAGGCCATCCACTCCGATGCGCCGGTGCTCGCAGGGCGACCGAGGTGCGGGGCATCATCACCCGCAGCGACCTGCTGTCAGGGCAGCTGCAGGAGCGCTTCCTCGCGTCCACGGCAGAAGACCGGCAGCCGCTGATGCGGGGCGACCGCGGCGCGGGTTACGGCGGCGCGGACGACCCGTACGGTCAGCAGCAGCAGGAGCCTGGGTGGCAGGGCGAGCGGCAGCGGCGGGAGGGCGAGGCGGAGCACGGCGGCGCGCGGGATGTGGGCAGCAGCTGGGGTGCGGGGTGGGGCCCGGAGGAGGACCCAGACCCGTCGATGATGTGAGTGCGGGAGGGGGGCGCTGTTTGCATGTGGGGCCTGACAAATCTGCCGCAACGCCACAACCTGGGCCATTCACTTGCCGTCTGCGTGCACTTATTAATGAAATGCCAAGTGCTATAACCCAACACCGGCTGTGCTTCCGTGCGTTCCTGCTGCAGGGCGCGGCGGCAGTCTGCCATGCGCAACGTGATGCAGCTAGGAGACAGGTTTAGGTATCAGAGAAGCGGCGTTCGGTAGCAGCAGCAGCAGCAGCAGCAGCAGCAGCAGCAGCAGCAGCAGCAGCAGCAGCAGCGGCGGCGGCAGCGACTTCGGCGGCAGCAATGGCAGCGGTGGCAGTGTAGGAGTCATCTGTGCATGCAGCAGGTACATGCTGCATCATTCCTGGAAGTAGCATAGGAAGAATGACTCTTGAGAGGTGACTAGTAGATGACTGCAGGCAATTCAATCATATAGCATTACCTGTAAATCCTCTTGTGCCCAGGGTTGGGGGGCCCCACCTAGCCGCCACGCAGTGTTTGTTTGGTGAAGGTGGCATTTGTGAGACTGTGTGCAAGGTTTTGCACTGAACAGGGGTTTGCAAGCACACCTGCAACGGTCACCCCACCAGATGGCTGGGCACACCAGAACTACATGCGGTGGGGTACAGCCCCCCGCAGGCTGCGCACAGCACTAGTATGGCCGTGTGCATGAATCGAGTTCTTTTGGACAAACCTGACCTTTAAAAACACACTATCATGCCGTGGGGGCAGGCCCCTGCGTGGCACATGCCGCCTCTTGAATGACTTTCGTCACAAGCTAGCGACAGCGCAACTGCTGTGACTCAGCTATGTAGCTGTCCTGCATGCACTGTGTGAGTAGAGCTTTGAGTACCAGGTGTGCCGTATGGGCGGTGCAGCTGTGCGGCAGCCCTCCTGAACTCGCAGCAATGGGAATGCAGCGGCAGCTGCAAGGGCAGGCAGCGCGCAGCACTTGGCCTGGGCGCAGCTCTTCCTCGTCCTTTTCGTGCTTCTGCGCATCTGACCGGTGTTGGAACGCATTCTTCCACCTATCAAGGTGTGTGCGCCGCAGCTCAGTCCCCGGGGCCGCAGCAGCCATTCAGCGCGCAGAGCAGCCAAGGCGCGCCGGTTGCTTCCGTTGCCAGACAACGCTTGGAAACGGTGCACTGCACATGAGTAGGGCAGCCGTGGCCTCTGAATAGCCCTGGCTGCCATCCTTGATCTTGCATGCTGCCCTCCCTATGCCGCGTTCACCCCTGCAGACACCATGGCTGACCGTGGCGGCGAGAGGGGAGGCTTCGGCCGCGGGTTTGGTGGCAGGGGTCGTGGCGACCGCGGCGGCCGCGGCGACAGGGGTCGTGGCGACCGTGGGCGTGGCAGGGGCCGCGGGCGCGGCAAGCCCGACGAGGAGAAGTGGGTGCCTTGCACCAAGCTGGGCCGCCTGGTGCAGCAGGTGAGGCTTGCAGTTGATCAACAACACGCATGCGCAACTGCCCGGCATTGTGTGTGCCCAGCGCGGATGCCCGCTAGCTTTTCGCGTGCAGCTGATGCCATGCGCGCTGTCTTGGGCTGGTGCCTCGTCTTACTCTCCTCTAGGAAACGCGCACCTCCCTTGCGTTGCCAACCCCCTACTCCTCGGTCTGCCCACACTCGCCGTCACACATCCTCACACTCCTCCCCTCCCCAGGGCAAGATCAAGAGCCTGGAGACGATCTACCTGTTCTCCATGCCCGTCAAGGAGTACCAGATCGTGGAGTACTTCCTGGGCGCCGCCCTCAAGGACGAGGTCATGAAGATCATGCCCGTGCAGAAGCAGACGCGCGCCGGCCAGCGCACACGCTTCAAGGTGCGCGCGCACGCGTGACTGCGCCCACAGCTGGGGGACAGCGGGAGGCGAGTGGGGCGGGGCGGTTGTTGCGGTTGTTTTCTGTTTTGAGCAGCTCGGCACACTTCCTTGCGGCTGCAGCCCTGCGGCACCGCCCATTTGGCCGCTCACCTGCGTGTGGGCCCTAGACCTGGCCGTCCCACTCGCTGGTGGAGCAATCACCTTTTTGACACCCCCCTCTGCTCCGCTCCGTGCTGCCAACGTATGCCTGGCTGCAGGCGTTTGTTGTGGTGGGCGACTACAACGGCCACGTGGGCCTGGGTGTAAAGTGCGCCAAGGAGGTGGCCACCGCCATCCGCGGCGCCATCATCCAGGCCAAGATGGCGGTCGTCCCCGTGCGCCGCGGCTACTGGGGCAACAAGATCGGCAAGGTGCACACCGTGCCCATCAAGTCGACCGGCAAGTGCGGCTCCGTCACCATCCGCCTCATCCCCGCGCCCCGCGGCGCCGGCATCGTCGCCGCGCGCACGCCCAAGAAGGTGCTGCAGATGGCCGGCATTGAGGACTGCTACACCTGCTCGCGCGGCAGCCGCAAAACGCTGGGCAACTTTGTGCGCGCCACATACTACGCCCTGGCCTCCACCTACGGCTTCCTGTCGCCCGACCTGTGGACCGAGACCAAGTACACCAAGGCCCCCCTGCAGGAGTTCACCGACTTCCTGGCCAAGCCCTTCCTGGGCGACGCCCCCAAGGCCGCCGATTACGCGGCCTACTGAGGCGCGCGTAACCGGGATGCTCCATGAGATCCTCGTGCCAGTCGCCGGCAGCCGCCGAGCAGGACGGCTCTTGGCGACGCGCAACACACACACGCCGGCCAGTCTGTTGGTGGGACGGCGGCGCAGCTTCCAGGGCCGCAGCTGCGCTCGTGCGGGGTCACCAGCGCCCCCTACCGCGCCTCGACACGCGCGCTGCGGTGCCCTTTAGTAGGGGTGTAACTTGCATGCCACTGTGCGACCAGGCTAGGTGGATCAGTTGAGACTGGGAAATGGAGTATGTGACAGCAGGCTGGGGTGCAGTCATCATGCTGATTAAGCAGGGAGCGCCTGCACCGAGGTCAGCACCGAGCCCAGCGGGCAAAACTGTAGAAGGACAGCAACGTCAACGCGCAAAGCATTTGAACCAGCTTATCGTGTAGGGCGACAGGCAAAGGATGTCGGGGGCATTTCACCACCTTGTCCCAGCTTACTGCCCTTGTACAGCCTGACTGCATCAGTTGATGGCATGTATGGACGCCATTATGGATGGATGTATCATACACCACCGTGCCGTTGATTGCTCAAAAGTGCCTTGGGCTCCTTGGGCTGTTGTAGTGCACCCCCACTCACCCACCCTTGCAGCGGCCAACTCGTGGGCGCCCAGGAGCAACGCCAGGGTGGTGCCATGTCTGAGACGCGTAGACGATCAAATCATCCTCGCAGCGTGAATGATTCATGGTCCCGCTGGCAGGAATATTGCTACTGGATTCGTCATTCCGGGCATGGTGCAGAGTGTCACGAGTGTGACTGCCTTGGAGGGGCGCAAATACGTTGCGATCATCGGACAAAAAGCCTTGAACGGTGTGGTACCTTTGTATGCAATCACGTTGTCTATCACACCCGTGCTTCACGCCGGTCACCGGGCGTGCCAGCAAAGCAATGGACCCCTCCCGGTGACGGGACCAGCCGTACGATATCATAATGGGCATTGACAAGACAAGCGCAGGCCCTGCGGCGCCAGCCCAGGAGCCGCGTGCAAGCCTGCCCGCGACGCTCGCGCTGCGCGATTCGGTGCTTTTCCTGTGGTGCGGCCGCTTGGTCAAGGCGGCCAGGAGGGGCGGCAAGCTCGATGCAGCGTGCGCAGGCGCGGTGCTGCCTCTTGGTGCCACCTGTGAGATTGATGACCAGGTGGGTTTGAACCAGGCCAGCGTGCGCGCTGCGCGACGCTGCATCAGCAACAGGCAGTGCCCCTGAATGTTACCCGCTGTGAGGAGCGGCGGCCGATCAAAGCAGCTGACAAAGAATCAAAGGGCGGTTGCAGCATGTGAATGCAGTAATGTGCCTCCGCCGCACACCCTCGAGGCCCGCCGCAGAAGCACCGCGGACTGCCGCGCCATGCCCCCTCGCTGCCCTGCGATTCCGCAGCTCTCCAATGGCCCCTCCTGGGTCAGCGCGGCCGACCCGCCCCCCGCGCCCGTGTCAACGCGCTCGGTGTTCCTGCACCACGGGAGGTGGATCGCGCTGCGCATGGCGCTGGCGGCTCTTGTCCTGGGGCTGCGGCTGGCGGTGCCCCTGATGCTGCGCGGCTTCGTCTCGTGAGCGCAGCGGTGGCGCCCTGCGTGTAGATGGTCGTGCTAGCTGGTCATGTTTGCGAGCGGCGCAGCCCCCAGCGCCGGTGGCGGCCGCTGGCGCTTAGTCATGGCGCTCAGCGTTTGCCCGCACGTGCACGTGCGCGCGTGGAAGCTCGCACACACGCACCATGCTTGCAAGCTCCCCCTTCCACCGCTTTGACAGCAGCCCCAGCCCAGCCCGCGTCGCACAGAAAGCCACCCCGGCACCGAACGCCACGCCCTGCCTCAGGTTCTTGGCCGACTACGAACACTCGACGATCCGCGCCCAGGCCGCCGGCACGGCCGCCCCCATGTGGCGCGGCTGGCTGTGGGCGGCCGGCCTTGTGCTCATGTCGCTCGCCGCCATCGTGGCGGACGCGCTCAGCACCTGGAACACCCAGGCGCACTCCAACGTCCTGCGCATGCAGCTGGGCGCCGCGCTCAGCGCCAAGGCCCTGCGGCTGTCCGCGTCCGGCTTCGCCGCGCGCTTCGGGGCGGGGCGGCTGCTCAACGGCTTCTCGTCCGACGCCCGGCGCGTGGCGGAGTTCAACATGCTGCTCGAGTTCCTTTGGACCGCGCCGCTGGCGACGGTGGCGGCGTACACCATGATCGCAACGGAGATCGGCCCGATCGAGGCGCTTGCGGGGATCGCGGTCTACATCCTGGCGCTGCCACTTGTGGTGCGGTTCTCTGGGTCGAGGGGTTTCGAGGGTTTAGGCTCCCCGGTACCAGGGACGCTGGGTCGGAGGCCCCAAGGTTTGGAGGGGGTTGGTTCCAGCACGCGTGTCAGCACGCAGGTCAGCACGTGGCAGCGGGCGCGCCTCTTGGCCGCCAGGTAGGCAGGAGATTAGCAGCGGTGCAGAGAGGCGCAGGGCGGCGCCGGCGGGGCGCAGGATTCCGAAAGGCAGACCGTGTGGTGCATTTTTTGCGGCTGCGCCAGCAGAATACTGCGGCTGTAAGAATGTGCGTGGCTTGTGGATATCAGCAGCCGGCAGCCACGAATCAGCAACACCAGGGCCTGGCTGGGTCGCACGCCGTCGCGCCCGACCTCCTGTCCCCTCGCTCGCCCCGCTCCAAACCCGCCGCCCTGCTTCAGTTTTGGTGGTCCCACCTGATATCCCGCATGCGTGCCGCCTCCGCCGCCGCGGCGGACGAGCGCCTGCGGCTGCTGGGCGAATGCTTGTCGGGTGTGGCGGCCGTCAAGGCGCTCAAGGCGGAGGGCGAGATCGAGCGGCGGGTGATGGAGGCGCGCGCCCGGGAGATGCGGGCGCTGAGGTGGATCGCCCGGCTCAAGGCGCTCAACTACAGCCTGCAGGTGAGAGACCAGCAGCGGCAGCGCACAGGCGCCTTGACACTTTTCTGCGCTTGTTCGGAATGGGATAGGAAGCGGCACGACTCTGCGCCCGAGGGTGCCTTTGGAATGCCGAAAACATGAAGTAGGGTCTTGCACAACAAGGCGCCCTGGGCATGGGCTTAAGTGCACGGCTCGCACCCTGGCGCAAAGATTGCCGCACGCCCCCTGCACCG